CTCTCTGCTTCCTCCCCTTCTCATGTGGTCTTCATTTACCATGGTCTCCTATTCCTTGTTCTCCCTCTCTTTTCTTGATCCAGCTGGGATCTCCCACTCTCTTTCGCTCGACCGTCGCCCTTCATTGTTCCCACTCATGACCAGGCATGTTTTTTTTTTTTTTTAATAAGTTGCCTTGGTCATGATGTCTTTTCACAGCAGTTGAAAAGTAACTAAGACACCTACCATTCTTAAGTCTTTGAGTTTGGTCCCTTGAACTGGAAAAACAAAACAAAACAAAACAAAACAAAACAAAACAACAAAACCAAAAAACAGCAACAGCAACAACAAACCCAAACAGAAGAAAGGAGCATGAAAAGTAGGCATGGTGGCATGTGGTTGCAAGCCCAGAATTTGGGAGGCTGAGCAGGAAAGATAATGGGTCAGAGACTCACTTGAAACAGAGCTCGATCCTGAGAGAGAGAGAGAGAGAGAGAGAGAGAGAGAGAGAGAGAGAGAGAGAGAGAGAAACGATCTCACATCGATTTTAAGTCCTAACTCAAGAACCTAGAAAATGTCCAGCAAAACACAGAATAGGAAATGGAAGCAGGGGACTAGAAAGGAGCAGAGAAACAATGTGAACAGGGTATGGTGACTCACCCCTGTAATACCAGCTTTTGGGAGGTGGAGGCAGGAGGGCCAGGGGTTCAAGGCCAGGCTCAGCTACAAAGTGGCTTCAAGAGACAAAACACCCTCCCAACCCCACCAAACCAAACCAAACCAAACCAAACAAAAACCAAAAAGAAACGAGGGAAATCAGATGAAAATGTACTATCATTTTCAGCCACTCAAATACATGAAATATTTAGGTGTAAATCTAATATATGATCTATATGGTGAAAACAAGGAAAGAAATCAGAGAGGATGTGAATGAATGAAGAGACATACCATGTTGATGAGTAGAAAGTTCATATCATAAAGCCATCAGTTTTAGTATATATATATATTAAACATATATATGTTTAGTATATATATTAAACATATATATTATATATGTAGGTTCAATACAATTTTTATCAAATGCCAAAAGAATTTTTGTTGATATAGGTAAAACTATTTTAAATATAGTAAAGCACAAGAATCATAGTATCCAGAACAACATGAAAAGATAAAATAATGTGAGGTGAATTCATCTACCTGATTTTAAGATTTACTGTACAGCATCAGGAATCAAAAGAGACAGGCACACAGATTAATGGGGCATAAATAGACGACCTAGAAATCGATCCACAGACACATGCTAACTGACATTTGGCAAAAGGTACAAAAATCACTTAAGGAAGAAGAGACAGCTCTGTCGATAAATGACACTGTGATAGAACATTCATAGGCAAACAATTAAATAAATAAAACCCTGGTGTAAATCTCACATCCTGGGTTGGGGGGAAATTAACTCAAAATGGGTCACAGACTTAAATGTAAAACTTAAAAAAATATTTTTTAGAGATTTATTTATGTGTTCCTTCTGCCTGTTGGCTTGTGATGGGCGGAGTCTGCGGTGATGATGATGCATTCCGTACTCTGCAGTCCACGGTATCACAGTGGCCACCGAGCATCCCCGTGATGGAAAGGAGCAGACCGTGGAAGCAGTGATGTCCCTTCTCTCTTGGTAACAGGCTGCCCGGCGTCTGCCAGCCTGCCACTGTCCACAAGCTAAGAGGGTTCCCCACCGTAAGAAGTGGGCTTAGGTACAGACTGACCCAGGCTCCTGCCCAAAGAGCGAGTGTTTACTAAAAAGTGGGGTGGGGGGGGGAGGGGGGAGTCCAGGTCAGTTTTAAGAGGAGCTAGAATCTGGACTCTGACTCAGGCTCTTTTCTCTCTCTCTGTATTGTATTATACTCAAGGCGACTGCCAACTGTGGTTGAGGTGGATCTGGGCAACTGAAGCCTGGGTGTTCGCAATCTCATCTTTGGAGCTTTCGGCAGTGACATGGGAAGATGGCGAGGCTACAAAAACGTGGAGGCTTATGAATGCTCAGCTCTGTTTGGCCTTTTCCGTAGCCAAGGCAGGCCCTTTGTATTCTCCCCGTCCATCAAATTCTGGCCATTTCCTCAGCACTTTGATCTGGAGACCAAAGGCCGGGGATGCATAGATAATGGGTGTGTGAACGTGAGACCTATGGAGTCTATACACAGAGCTGCCATGTCCTGGAGGCATTCAGAGTCCCCGCCACAGAGGGAGCCCCTCTGCGGCCAGAGTGGAGCCGATACAGAGGTGAGATATGGACAGAGGGATAGACATTATTGGGCTGAGTCACTGGGAAGCCCTGAGTTCCTGGTCCCTCGTAGCTAAATTCTTTCTTGTCTCTCTTGCTTGTTCTTCCCAGCCATATTCTATTTTGGGCTATAGTTGAGGTTTTTTTTTGCATATGCAGCTGAAAAAAATTCCAGATAAACACTCTGTTCAAGAGCGTTCCCTGGTCTTGACAGCTTCCTTCCCCTCCTATGGCTTCCCTCTACCAGAAAATTATATATGTGGTCTAAGACTGCCAGGCACATGCAAACACCACGGGGCAGCATCTGTCCCCCAGAGGGCCAGCTAACTTCAAGATAAGCTCCAGGGGTCTCCAAGAGGCTGCATTTCTCCCGAGCGTATTGGGATGCTCCATTCAGCCCACTGACTTGAATCAGAGGCACGGTAATAGCATGAGCCTGCAGTTTTATAGCCTAAGAGACACATTTGGACAGAAGTTCCCCCACTTCTTTTCTTCCCTCAGTATGGAAGAACATTCCAGAAACCAAGCCAAATGTTTCCGAGAAACATTCTGTGGGGATAAACTGATTGGGTGCTAAGACACCTCCGTCTCAGGCTCCCATATTCCCTGATTTATTTTGGCACTGAACCGATGGTGGTGCCGCCATTCAGCCACATGTTAATTTTTTTTTTTTGTCTATGCAAGGGTGTAAACTGCATATGGTTTATTTCAATTAGCTTAATTGTTTTTGGTATTTAATAGCTAATTGTCTTAATTAGCTTCCGAAGCACAACAATGCCAACGACGGTAATGACTACATCTTATCCATATGGTTACAGGAGACAGATGAGTCTGTTTCCCATCCTCAGGCTGTGTTTGTCCCAGGAGGACAGGGCAGATGTGAGAGCGGAGGAAGATGGAAGTCCTCAAGAGAGCTGACCTGGCCTTGAAAGCAAAAAACCTGAATATTAAGAATAAAGAGGAGGTGATGGACGGGAAAATAAAACCGGAGAATGAAGGATTTATGGAGAACTTGAGTCATCAATTTTCTTAATGTAGATACCACAGAGTGATGCTGGGTGAATAATAATAGCAACCAATTTCACCGGTCCGGCAGGCTATATTGGCGCCGCTCTGAAGAGGCAGTATTTGAAGAACAGACTAGAATATGGAGGGTGAGAAATGTCCCATGGTACAATCTGTCTTAGGAATAGCTGGTTCCAGTCAAAGCCTGGGTGACTTTTCTCTAGCCAGTCTGGCTCAGAAATAGTTCATAGCTAGTGCCTGGCACACATTAGGAGCTTAATATATGTTTTTATCAGCAGCTGTCTGGAACTCCTATTGGCTTAACCTTCTAGATGGACACTCAGTAACTCCTTAATTGCTCTTATCATGGTCTGACTCGCCCATCATCTTAGACCTGGCCACTTCTGCCAGACTTAAAGCTGGCCCTCTGGCAGCCAGCCTCAGACTACAGAGTTTATTCTTTTTCAAGACAGGGTTTCTCTGTGTAGTTTTGGTGCCTGTCCTGGATCTCGCTCTGTAGACCAGGCTGGCCTCGAACTCACAGAAATCCGCCTGGGATTAAAGAGTGCGCCACTGCCACTTGGTATATATATATATATATTAAATTATATATACATGTATTACATATATATGTAATTTAAAAATTTATATTTAAATTTGTATTTACCTAATGTGTATGGGGAGGGGGTGCATGTGCCTTGGCACTTGTGTAGAGGTCAGAGGACAATCTTTGGGAATCAGCTCTCTCTTCCCACCATATGGGTCCTGGAGACCAAACTGAGACCATCAGGCTGGGTGGCAAACACTTCTACCCATTGAGTTGTTGGCCCCAGAATTCCACTTTTAACATAGCAAGTGTCTTAATCTGTTCCTTGTTGCTTTAGCTGTCTACCTGCAACCGTGGCAGCTTAGAAAGAAAAGCGTTTCTTTGGCCCATGGTGATGGAGTTTGAGAATGTAAGAGCAAGGCATGGACTTGTGCTTGGCATCTGGTGAGGGACTCCATGATGCTTTATAGAACCGTGGACGATATCATGCATTGAGCCAGAGTACGTGTGCCGGTGTGGTTCTCTCTTTCTGTTCTTATAAAGCCACGAATGTTGTTGAGGGACCCTGCCCCACCCTCATGATCTTATCCAGCCCTAATTATTCCTCCAAAGCCCTACTGCCAAGTGCCATCAATGTATGAATTTGGGGACTAAGTTTCCAACATGAAGCTCTTGGAGGGGGGGGGCACATTCAAACCATTGCAGCAGCCAAAGGAAGCCATAGATGCTAAGATCATATCACTGTTCTTCTGAGAACCCTCTAGTGTTAGCCATCTCATGCAGAACAGATCCAGACTCCTTACAATGACAATGTCCATCAAAAGCCTCCTCATCCTGGGTCACCTCTCTGACCTCTTCTCCATGTGTCTTTCCTTCCCACTTCCGCTGTCCTGTGAAGTCCTTCACACGTCCACACACTAGGGCCGCGCCGTTTGGGTTATGCCTGCCCGTGGCCATTCAGCTCAAGGCTGGTCACAGTGTATCAACCACTTTTTTTCCGTGCTATGACAAAATACTTGACATTCTGCAGGGAAAGCTAAGGTTCGAACCTTGGGCTGCATCAGGAGGAGAGAAGGCAGCCACTAGCCTGAAAGGGCGGCTTGTGTAGGGGAAGTAGGGGTGTCTCTGGAAGGATGGCTCTTGCCTGTGTCAGGGCTCTAGTGTCACCAAGGGGGACGGGTCTTAGGATGATTTTTAGGAAGGTGGTGTTGCTCCTGTGAGGTGTCTGGAGTAACACAGTGTGGTGTTCCTGACACCGTTTGTAGGACATTTGAGGTATGCTGTAGATGAACAGTCTTATTACATAAGAAACACAGAGCCAATTGCAGAGTTAAAAGCCCAAGAGGTCAGAGCAGTAGCTGAGAGCTGAGCTTACCTTTCACTGCCGCTGCTGTCCTTCCCCTCTGCCAGAGCGCTACTTCCTGTGTATCTGTCTTTTTATAGACTTTCTGTTCTGCCTTCTCATTGGTTGTAAACCCAACCACATGACCTCCTCATCACTGCCCATCTATACAGACCTCCAGGTCTTCTATGGTTGGTACTGAGATTAAAGGCGTGTGTCTCCATGCTGGCTGTATTCTTGAACACACAGAGATCTGCCTGGCTCTGCCTCCTAAGTGCTGGAATTAAAGGCGTGCATCACCACTGCCCGGCTTCTGCTATGGCTTGCTATTAGCTCTGACCCCCAGGCAACTTTATTTATTAACATACGAATAAAATCACATTTCAGTACAAATAAAATATCACCATAGTATGCGGTTCACGTTTGAAAGAGCAGGAATGTATGGTCACCATCTAGCACTTTCCACATGCCACACCTGTTCCAAGTATGTTATATGCAGATGCTCATTCAATCCTCACAATCCAATGAGGTAGCCACCCTTATTGTCTGACCAGTGAGGGGACCAATGAGACGTCAAGCACTTTGCCTACGATCCCCTGGCCACAAGTGGCGGGTAGTAAGTATTGAACTCTGCAGTCTGGCTCCATGCACCAACACTGTTTGGTTACACTTTGCATCTAGGACTTTAGGAAACACTCCTCTCTCATCCTTGCTTCCCACAACTTTTGGGGAGCTGTGGAGGGAGAGTCCCTCCATTCTGGCCATGTCTTCCTTCCATCCCTCCTCTTTCCTTCCTCATCCTCTGGTTTTTGTAGTTAATATCAGTCAGGGAGTGTGAATAGAAGGAGGAGAAGGCTAGGGTATACTTCCAGGACTGGCTGGGGGTGATTTACATTTTGTGGGACCTAAAGTTTATTATCTATTGCAGGAGGACTCTTCAAGAATAGACAGGTGGTGGTGGCGGCGGCGGCGGCGGCGGCGGCGGCGGCGGCGCACGCCTTTAATCCCAGCACTCGGGAGGCAGAGGAAGATGGATCTTTGTGAGTTTGAGGCCAGCCTGGTCTACAGAGTGAGTTCCAGGACAGCCAGGAGTGTTACACAGAGAAACCCTGTTTCAGGGAAACCAAACAAAACAAAATAAAACAACCAAGCCAACCAACCAAACAAACAAAAAATAGGGAAAAACAAACAAGAAAATATAGGAAATTATGCTCTTTTGCAAATTTCATGGAGCCATGCTCAAGGTGAGTCATACCTTCCCCATCATCAGGTCTTCAGAGAAGGCCTCACTAGTTCCCTAGAGCCCTGCCTCTCACCTTGAATTTGGCTTTTCTGACCATCCCAGAGGGGAAGTTGGCCAGCTGAGAATCTGTCTTCTGGTAGCATTGAGTCCCTCTTAGAACAACAGCCAATTGGAGCAACAGGGTCCTGGAATCTCTTTCCCACCCCTCTGAGGCCTGAGGGTGGTCCAGCTATCATCCTAGCTCATAAAGGGGGAAGGGCAACCCATTCTACCTCCTCCGGGAAAAGAGGGATTTATTAATGGCAAGGCGGTTCAGTTCTACTTGGCACTCAGAAACCCACACTTGAGATGGAAGAGTTCGTCGTGTCAAGGAGAAAATGTTTATTATGAAAAATCAGCTAATTAGAAAATGGCTGTTCTATTGTCCCAAGGACCATGTCAAGGAACATGGATACAGGGAAGGGCTTTTGTTTATTTTTTTGGAAAGGGGATAGTTCAGGGGTGAAAAGACAGGAGGACTACTTGCTGATCATACGTCCACCAAGCTCCCTAAGTATCTCTGCCGCGTGAGCTATTTCCCTTTCTTTTTGACAGACTTTGTATGTGGTAACTATTGACCTAGTCCCTGGGGGCAGTCCGTGACATTCTTTAGAAAAATGTGCCAATTTCCCTGAAGTGGATCATTACACTTTTTTAATTAAAGAAAAAGATTAGGAAATCCATGGTTCACACTGTGGTGTTATCCGAAGACGATCAGTAATTTTGAAAAACTGATAACCGATTAGGGAGTCTTGGCACCAGTGTGTTCTGGTTTTTTTCCCTGCAATGTCTGGCACCGACCGTTAGTATATCTGTCATTTCAAGGTGGTTTCTGTGGACTGTTTAATGCTGGGCAAACGGGAAAAAAGAAGAGTGACTTTATTGGGGTCAATTTACAAAGTAGAGCTAATCTAGACTCTGGCGGATGGAGGAAGAGCACACAGCTTCAGTGATGGGTGCTGTTACGATAGTCCTGGAATCCCAGCCCTTGGGAAGTGGAAGCAGGAGGGTCAGAAATCCAAGGTTATGCTCAGCTACACTGGGAGATTGAGGCCAGCCTGGGCTATAGAGAACCTTGTTTGAAACAAACAAGCAACTAACGAATGAATGAACCTGTTAGTATTTTCCTGGTGGGGCTTTGAGGGACGAGCTGTCATGGGTTGCCACAGAAGGACTTAGCTCTGTCCCATTTGCTGGCATACACCCCTTCCCCCCCCCCACGCACACACACATACACACACACATGCACACATACACACACACATGCGCACACACACACACACACACACACACACACATATATATAGTTTAGTCTATTTCTATACATATTTTGTTAACACGTCTCATCATGGAGTGGCTTGGCTTCAGCCTCTGTGCTGGCCTGGGATTTTTATAAGAGTGTCTAGGAGTGGGTATATTCCTCACCCCAGCAGGGCTATGTCAGAAATTGATTCTGTTTGTCTAAAGAGGAGACACGATCAACGAACGTTTCTGGAGAGGCCTGCCAGGATGGCGTCAGCCAAGAGGGGGCAGAGATAAACTGGTCAGTGGTGGCAGGGCCCGAGGGCAAGCCCGTGAGAAGTTGGAGTCCCAGGTGGGAAGGGTGAATCAGACACGGAAACAGCAGCCTCACTCACCAGACTCTGGAGGATGCATATGTCACGTGGAAGGAGGTGCCTTGTGATCTCAGCGTGTGCACCGGGCACTGTCAGCCTCGCCGCATGGTCCCGCCATGTCCCGCAACTTCGCCGTGGTTCTCCCAGAGCAGACAAAGGCCACCGAGAACACTCTTTTAATATTCAAGTATTCCCCCTGTCCATTTACTTCTCCCTCTTTCTCGGGGAAAATTGACAGTAAGTGGCAGCTCCACAGACAGTCCTGAACTGCAA